CTACCTGCAGGCGTTGATTCAATTGTCGAACACTGATACGCTGTAGTTCTTCGTCAGTTACATCCGGAGTGAGTGGCGATTGAGCGGAACTGTTCGGCGGAGATGGCAACAATGTCGGTGAGACAGAGAGTGAGGTGTACGAGGGGGATGGCTTGCAATATGGATCCATTGCCTAAAAAAGATATCTAATTCATAAAAACAAAAGCTGAGGTCCAACTCATAGATAAGACGATGATTCTACGCGATTGTGTGCCCAGGCATAGAAGATCTTTGTTGAAGAAAGGCGATAAGCGCCCTCCCCTTTCAGCGTAGGAACGTTCTTTGCCCCACGAACGGAAAGGGTTAACTACGATGTGTCTCTAGAGGGTTTTTCTGTGCACTTCTGTTATCGTTTCTAGGACAAAGTAAAGCAAATATTGGATAAAAACTGGACGTCGATGAACTCTTTAAGGACGCGCCATGCCTTTGACAGCCGTTTGGAGTTTGATATGCAAAAATGCCCATGTTAAAGATTGCACAGTTTGGCTTGTACAGTGAATCGCAAGAGACGGCCAGCGTTGGAACTTGTGGAGTTGACTCTCGAAGCAACCCAAGACTGAGTGAGAGATGAGGTTCCTAGGCGGGATTTGATCCGTGGACCCTCATTCGATAGCGACATCTCTGGCCACAGGTCATACATGGAAAACATGATTAACAAAGACGAAATGGTGAACCACCGAGAGCCGAAAGGAACGTCAAGTCAGCATTTCGACAACGAACCAAAATGATGGTTCGAGTGGGGGTTTGGACGCTCGCTATTGTTAGGGCGCTGATAGGGGCCGAGTAATGAGCGCAAAGATTGCGCGAATCGAGAAGTGTTCCGATAAGCTCGTACGGGCAGAAGCAATGGGCGGCGTAGAATGTTTACCGATGATTCATCTTATTTATTCTCAATATGTTTTTGTCAACTGAGTGGAAGAATTGCGTCTTCAGGCGGCACAAATCGCTTATTGACGCAAATAGCTGGTTTTTGATCAGCTCACGTTGTTCTTGTGGTTAAAAGAGCACTATGGTTTAGCTGCTCAAAGCGAAACTCCGTGTTGATAGCTTTGGAGGGGCATTCAATGGGCTCAATTAAAATTACCGCGAGATGAGGATTTCCTTCCAAGACTTCAGATGTGAAGAAAGAGCTCCGGGTTGAATAATCGAGTTCCAAGTGCAGTAATTCTACTTCAAGGAATTGTTTGAGATAAGCGAACAAAAAGTGTTATCGGACATACTCTAAAGATCAGCGTATGAGCTTTCCAGCGACAGGGTGGGCTCTCTAGGAGGGAAAGAGAAAATTAGTCGTCCAGCACAACCCTGCCTCCTAGCTGTCTTCATGGGACTGCTCATTCCCTTTACCTGAAGCGTGACTGACTGACATAGGTAAAGATCAGGACGCACCAATGGAACCTGGAAGCTTGACGTGCGCTACACTGGAAAAGATGGAGTCCTCATCTCGTTCCCAAATTTCGCAATTTGTCTCATTAATGCGGACTCTGAGCGAAATATGACCCCTCCACAGCGTCTCCATTACGACTAACACGGTAAGGATTCCCAAGCACACGTTTTTTGAGGGGAAGAAGCTAAACCAACTGAAGTATCAGGATAAACCAGAGTGGGTCGTAACCAATTTAAGACACCAACGATGAATTGGAGGAGGGGGATAGGTGGTGGGATCACTTTTGGGTAGAGTAGGGGAGCAGATCCGCAGCCACTATACATATGGGGGGGGGGGGAAAAAAAGTCACTTTTTCCTCCCATGACTTTCAGGCGCTTATACAGTTACTTTATTAATTTTTATCGACATTTTTACTACCAATATTGAAAGAGCAATTAAATACTATACAATAATGTTCCCGCCACAGCCTTCTGAGGACCGCCCATTCGAAGATCCGTCGCGCAGCCTGAAAGTGAGTGGGTACCGGAGTTGAGCGATATCGTTGATTTCTCCGCCACTGTAGACCACCCTGTTGAGCTCCGCCCGAACTAGGTAATTGAGTGGGTTTAGGTCAGGGGACATATTTCAATATTACATCTTCATCAGGTACGAAACGCCCTTCCATTCGAAGTAGGCGGGAGTTTTTCCAAAACCCTTCGATTCCATGTGGTGGCACCCAAACCTGTAGCAGCACAAGGTCTCCAAGAAGGTACGGGCGACCACATGTAGGGAGGATATCCTTCTCGAGTTACTTGATGTAACCGCCAGCGCTCACCTTCAGTCGGGGTCTACAAAGAAAATATCGGTCTTCCCATTCCAGGTACGGCCGGTCCACACCATCAACCCGCGCCTTGGTGAATGGGGTGAAGATGATGTCCTGGACCGTAGCGACGTTGCCGGAGCTGCTCGATGTTTGAGGTCTTGCAGATCAAGAGTACTGGTCTCCAGGTAGCTATCCATGGGTGATTCCATTCAAGAAGTTCCGCAGCTGTTTGGAGGCCACGTGAATTCCAAAGGCGTTCTCCACTCAGGCCGCGACTGGAGATGACTTCATATTTTGGTGTACATGAAGGTGAATGGCGGCAGCCGGCTCCTGCTTATAGAGGAAGATCTTGGGTATCTTCCGCCCTGGTACTCATATCCACTTCCTCTGTCTGGGCTGCGAAAACTTCGCTCATATGTGACTCGGCCGGAATGACTTTTTTTTTGGCCCCCCTGTATATAAGGTACAGCAATCGCAGGGAAAATGCGTCAAGCGGTCGTACTTGATCGCTCGGGAGGAGCTCGATCCCTCCTTCGGAGACATTCTCCTTCTCGCAGAGAATTGTTTCTGGTTGTGGGTTGTTCCGTTCCCGCGTATTATCCCTAGTTGGTGGCGCAGCGAAACCACCAATGGAGAAGGTCTAGAGATCTCTAGCTCTTGCTCAATGACAATTTCCTTAAGGAACTGGTAATTTTTTTGGACAGTTTATGGAGAGTTGGAAAACTTTGGTGCGGTAGGTAGATCGTGGGAGGAGTCATACCCGGAGAAACTTCGGGGGGGGGCAGGGTTAACACGACCGTCTGACCCATCGCGATGTTGTACCCTGCTTGTGGATGCCTTTTTCGCTACTCGAACTTGGGTGGTGAGTTCTCGCGTTTATCTGGAACAACTAATAGCAAGTTCAAATGCCCATGGAATGACGGCTACAGGCGTTGCGATCGATTTCCTCGCTCTCACGAGCAGTGTAGCTCTCGCCACGCGCTGAGCACCTCTGCGTCTCAACTCACCGAATGCTCTTTCTTCAGTTCGGAAGTTAAGGTTTGTACGTTATATCATTTTCTTGTTTCAGCGGGGTGCGTTGCAACGTACAGGTCAAAAATGCAAGTTAGTTCTAAAGCCTTCAGCGAGATTCAACAGAGATTTTACCTGGACCGATGTAGGTTAGACCCTCCACCCTCTCCTTTCTCGGCTGACAAATTTTCGTGGGAAATTGTAGATACCGCGAAGGTGAGGAGGAAGGCAAGGTTGAAAAGGGGCCCATGGGTGGGCTGGACAATCAGTTCTCCTCATGTGCCCCTGGTTATCGCTAGAATTTCACCAACATGTGATGATAGGGTTCAAAGGTGGGTGCCACTCATAAGCAGTCACATCGAAAGAAGTGGAATTCAAAGGGAACGCAAAATTTAGTACCTGTAAATTAACTCACACTGATATGTATATGTTGAGAAGTGCCGAACGAAGTGAAGGGTTGCCCAGGTGGTCAGAGTGGTGTCGCTTGACTGAGGTGAAGTGGTTGAACACCTCGACTCCGCAACAGCTGAAATAATCAAAGAAGCTCTTGTGGAGGGCGGTCAGTTGACGGGGGGTCCAGGTGGTTGAGCAGCAGACTCCGCCTTCCAGAACACAACCCCAATCATCTGCCATCGCCATCCACAAATAGCAGAAAGCAAAATACAAAAAAGATAAGGCACACTCCCGTGCTGCTGCACACCCGCACACTTTCAACAGCACACTGGCGTTCGTTTCACGCGCACGAAACACCCACGGAGCTGAGCTGACAAGCTCCACGTTCTGGTTAGTTGAGTGAATCAGCTGTTAGCTCAACTCTTCAAAAAAAACTAAATGTAGGAAAAGGAAGCGAACTGAGAAAGCTGGAGGAAATGTCATTGTCAAACGGAAAATCGGGGTCAAAGCGTTGGGAAGTTATGCTCAGATGTGTCACTCCAATTCGTCGGCACTGTTCGAACACTTCGCGCTTAACTGATAGAAACGGATGAAGTGCAAAAGGAGAAGGCTATTCCCTGGGACACGCCACGCATTTGGCTTTTATTCAGAGTCAGGAGTGGAAAGCTATTGAAAGTGCTTGACAATTACTTGCCAGCCGGTGTTCGTGCAATGGGGTTTCGGCTCTATCGTACTAGGGCTAGGGTGAGGGTGAGGAGATCCTAGTTAGGTCATCACGTTAGCTTAAGACACCGTCCATACTTCAAGTCGACCGATTTGGGAGTGGCGCTAATCGTTGGGAAGCTTTCACTGGTAATTAAATTACGTTTGGAATAGGGCTTCTTTCGACCGTCAATGCGGTCCAGCGATTAACTTTGGAGTGCGGCTAGTCGCAGTAGCGCGGCTCGCTGGTGAAGCGAAGTATGAATGCAGCCTAACGCGCAACGCATTTCCTGACTAGTTGACTCTGCCTCTTTAGCACCATCGCGTCAAATTAGTCGGGCTCTGGTGTAAATGCAGCGCACGCGACTCCATTGCAGCATCGCTTGCACCGCTGAACTGAGCGAGGGATTCACAGGTGATCACCTCAGGCGATGAGGGAGACTCTACTGGGAGTTATGAAGCAGAGCCGCTTGGGGGGGGCGCCAGTCGTTTGCGTTATCTAGGAACTTTTGCTCACTCAACAGGTCAGCTGGTTGAATGGAATGGCTCGCGACAGGGTTTCAATGGTGTGACACATCCAAGCATGGAGTTAGTGCAGGTGAAGCGTGTCACAACTTGAAGTAGTTTTATTCTCCCATTTTCCCAACAAATGTACAATCCACACTGATTGTATGGGCGGAAGTCAGACCACCAATGGTCCTTCATTGTTTATGTGCGTCTTCTCTTCGATAGACAAAAAGGAGGGGCACGCCAATCGTTATAGGATAAGCCTGACTCCGCCTACACGGTCGGCGTGGACTGTGCAACTTCGAGGTTGTATCACGCCGTTCACTCTAAG